GATGCTATTTTATTTGGGTTCTTATCTGGAATACGTGCCGGTCGGAAAAGTTTATTTGGCAGATTGTGGCGATCTCAGAACAGGGAGCAGTTAGGCTGTGAATGCTAAAACTTGTTCCACATGTAGGTACATGTACATGTGGTTTGTTTGATCATGTTGATGGTGTGTGCATCTAAGTGTTCCTGGTGTGCCGAAATATGGTGCCTTGTGAACACCCAGAGCAATGGGTCGAATACATATACATGTAGGTCTCCACAAGGATTTTACGAAACTGATAATGGAAATTGCTCAAAAAGGAGAAATTTTTAATTTATACATAAGAATCTGTTGAAAATTGAAGTGTTTCATATAAGGGAAATTCCGTCGAAATTTCAGTCCAGGAGAGTGATTCATGTTGAAATGGGAGCATTTTGAAAACATCGTTTCACGCGCAACCTAATTAGTACTGGAGAACAAAGTCATGTCTCCACAAAGATACAAATTTCTGAAAGAGTGTGCTGAGACTAAACGTTCTTTGAAAAACCAGCTGGCATGTACGGATTGTATGTACATGTAAGTTGCATGTGCCGGTGCAAGGTACATGTACCTACCAAGTAGCACTTACATATACATGTAGACTTTCTTCTATAAATTTAGTAAGTCAAATCTACCCAGTATAGAAACGGGTGCTTGCCTAGTATGTCACATTGACATTTACAGGGGAAGTTTTGTAGGTTAAATTTGGGTGATAAATTTTTCCTTATTAAAGCCAGTCAAGCTACACATTGCCACCTGTCCATGTACATGTACATGTATCATGCACATACAAAAATATGTACATGTACATGTATGGTTGGGTACATACACTGTACAGGTACTTGTATGGTAGGTGTACACGTACATGTACAGTAACACTGCTGTCTTGATGCCAGAAAACTATGATGAACATGTATACTGTACTGTAAAATATTGATATTTACAACTTGTATATTTTCGGTTTGCAGCTTGTGCAAGAAAGACACGTGACATGATCTACACCGATGTGACTGGTTTTTCTCCATGTGTCAGGAGGTTCAATGCTACTCACCAAATCGGATGCTCCAGTATGTACACATCACTATCAGTTACTGTTTTCCAGATGCTCTCCCCGTACTGCCTAAAACTTAAACAAGTTTTTTTCAGATATGTACAGTACATGGTCACATAAAATAATGTTAACAAGTGTTCCTTATTACACTGTATGTACCATGCAGTACATGTACAGGTGCATGTACATTATGTGTCGAGTTCGGTCGGTCCGTTCTTGACACGGGTTTCGTGTTCTCGCGCTTGAACGGCGGGAACACGACCCAAGAACACTGTTCTTGGAACAGAATCACACACCCTCTCCTCGTCAGGATTTTACACGAACACACGGAAAAACGCGTGAGATTTCATTTTTGGACAGCCGCAAAAGTATCGATATGGCTTTAAAAAGCCGAAGACAATAGAAAATTTTGCAAAATTTACATTAATAATTTTCCATGACAGAAATGAATTTTTAAATGGAAAATAAGTTAGCCCAGTTATCCAACATTAACTCTCGAAGAATGCACAAGGACGCTGCCGTGTTTACAATTACGGTATGGTAGGCCTAGGCTAAAAAGTGGCAATTATATCGTCTTGTAAACATTGAGAATCAGTGCTTCACATTTCAAAACACAGAAAAGTGTGAACTGTTATTCAGGAATGTGAACAAAATACACAATATTGGCAATACTTTTATTCAATCTGGGGAAATTCGTGCTAGGCGGCAGAGTTTATTTCGGACCTACATGTACACTCTGGGCACAAATTTTCAGTGCTGGGCTGGCCTGCCCAGCGCCGCCCACCATGGCTAGAACACTGTCAAACACATACATATACATGTACATTTAGCACCCAACCTGGACTTTGTGTGTGCATTCCTTCACTAGCCCTGGTTGTGTAGAACATTATCATGATCTAGACTAACTCTTCAGGATTAATAAACATTAAGTGGATCACATGCGTATTTCAGAAGCAACATGCACTCATGTATTTTGCATGTCACACAAGCATAAATCTGTGTTACACATGAACACATCCACTAAATTAAATCTTTCAAATAGTGGGATATTTAAACTGCACATTACAAGGGATAAGGTTGCACAATGTACATGGACATGTACTGTATGTAAGGAACCAACGTGGCATGACAAGATCGTACCAATGGGAATGAGGTTGTAACTATGTAACTATTAATTATAATGCTGGTTTCATAAAATGAATCTCAACATAAAAGACAACCACCGGGCATTTGTGCGTAATTTGAATAGGCTTTGGAATGCCTGTGGATGTCACAGGATATGAACATTTTTGTAAACCCAAAAATAGCTGTCAGGAAAGTAGTGATCAACACTAGCCTGCCTTTACGGCTACAGATTTTCTTCAGGGTTGTCTCCCTTAGCCTTGCCCAAACCAATACATGTAGCAAACCACAAGGCAGGGCAGCTGGGGAAAGATACTATTTAACCCCTTCTTGACGGGAATTTCTTTCTGAAAGCCGACTCCAAGAATTCCAGCCTCGCTTGGCCACAAAGGCCACCTGCCAAACCGCAAATTCTCGGTTTGTGGCCCAGCGTTCTCTGCATGTTTTGAATTACACGGTGAAAAGGCTGATTGTTCGGTGGCATGCGGCTCTACTCAAGCTTCCACATTCCTGTTGCCTCTTTTCAAAGTGGGGGACTATTGTGAAGCTGGTGATTATGATACAAATTCGGTCTTTTCATTTCTGGGCTCCACACAAAGACCAATTACCATGTACACAAGAGCCAGGGTCTGCCTTCTTTCACCGTGTTTGCTCAAGCGTGGGTTGAGAATAATAGCTGAAAAGCGGGCTGAGGATCTCAATTTTTACGGCGTGTTTTAACGCGTCCCGGCATGAAGGGGTTAACCCATAACTGGGGTAGTGGTTCACAAGGCGCCAGGGCATGTCAACCATACATGTACATGTACCTTTAGGGACCACTAGAGCTCCGAGATCCCTTGCAGTTCAGCCTGGGGTCGCAAGATGCCCAGTGACCATCATGTATACAATATAAGTTGCCATGAGGAGGCACTGCAAAAGTCTTCATGGTGGAGAGGCTACATGTATACATATACTGGGAGGGGAGACTTACCGGTACATGTACAGTGTATGCACTCAGCTTCCTTTTCACCCCAGATACATGTACATGTATGCCAGAATGGGACGAGCCAGTGGCAGCAGCTGGTGGTAGAGAGTTGGTTATGCATTGCTAACTAATGTACAAGTACAATGTACATGCATGTACATGTACACTACTGCACTAGACGTGTCACACACACCCTATGGAGATTTCCACCAACACACATTTTACTAGTCATACCGTTAAGGAAATAAATGTGCATTCAAGACCTATTTAAGTGATCACTCTGGGCAAATGAAAAGAGAGTGTCAACACAGGGATTCAACAGTTCTGCCTGACTTTTTGTCCAAACATTCAGCATAAACCTTTGCACAAAAATTCTTTATTAAAATCCTTACACATCAAATTCAGTTCATACTAGTTTTGTTGTTGCTGTTATGGATTGTTTGATAACTGGTCTATGTAATGCAGGTGATTTTCGTGGTAATACTGGTGTGATTCACTACATGGCCAATTCCTCTGATGTTCAGTGGCTGCTTGATGTTGGTCCCCATCAGCCATACATTCCTCTTTTGGAACCACAAGTGTTTGTTCTGTAAGTACAGTACATGCAAATGTTTACCTGTTGCTTGACATTAACTAATTTGGAAAGTATTCAGTTGCAGAGCTGTGTGTGATCAGTTGTGAGATTTTTCAGCTACACGTACTTATGCACATGCCAAAAGCGTGTAGCAGAGGGTGGAACTATGTAAATTTTTAGGGGGGCCATTTTGTGCATGGGGAGGGAGTTATGTCTTTTTTTTTTAATGTAACAATTTATCTAAAGGAAACTAAATGTAGAAAATTAATATACATGTACTTCTCAGAAACTGGTAAAACCTTATCTTGGAATTTGATGTTGCAATACTAAGATGCACTGTAAAAGCAGTACATGTATGTTTGAGTGAAGTACACGTTCACGTAATTTGTACTTGTAATTATTGAATCCATTCACAGCCACAGCTACATGTACTTAGGCATGCTACTGCTGGCCAGATCTACATGTAATCAGAGATCTACAGATATCAGATTGGAAGACATTGATTCAAAGTACTTTACGTGTACAGTGCATGGCAGTGTTCTCCCTAAATGTAACTGAAAATTATAGCAGAGCGGCACATAATGCAAGCGTGGAGCTTGAAGCCATTACGGCATGGGGCCCCGGAAAATTTTGAATTCTACGTGTACATGTACATAAATGCTGGTGCAATCTGGTTTTCAGCTGTACTGCAAGCAATCAGTGACTATCCCCCATGCTGCACAGTTGATGAACCCATTATGTACGTCACATACATGTACATGTACATACTGTACATGTACATTTCTGTTATGCCCGTGTAGTTGAATTCGCACTGTACATGCATGCACTTGCATTGTAACTTAAACTGAGAAAACTATGCGTTTATTTTTTGGCCAATTTACTACTAAAAACCGGAAAACTCCAATAGTCCTTTTTGTTAAAGGTACATTAGATGCAAGCGTTATACATGTAGAACTGTTACAGTAAGTACATGTACATGTACATACAAGAAAAAAGGATTTGGAATCACACATACAAAATGATGTATCACCCTTTATTTTTGGTCAATTTTTGGGCTCTTGTGAATTTTTACAAACTGTTCTAAAATGTTGAGGTTCCATACGGAAATCTTGCTGGCTAGAAATTTCTTTTCTAGATGTTTTCTGAAACAAAAAGAAGCTTACATGTACATTTCACCTGAATTTGTTTGATAATGTAGAACGAATGTCACGGGTCAGGACAGGGTAGTGCAGTTTTGCACTTCATTGTGGTGAGTCCGCCAGTGTTTTATGACCGGATGCTCCAAGGGAAACAGACAACAGACCAGAAATAATCAATCGTCAATCACACTAGTATTCAGTTTTAACTTCACTGTAATATTTGTTAACTTATCTCCAGATCGCAAAAAAAAAGATGACAAAGTTACCCCAATAAGGTTCTGATACAAAAGACAATTCCCCAAAGATAGGTTTCTCTAATAAATTCCCCAGACTTAGTAAATTCCTAATCTAAATTCCCCGGACTTAGTAAATTCCTAATCTAAATTCCCCGGACTTAGTAAATTCCTAATCTAAATTCCCCGGACGCCGGTCGGGACCGCCCTCGCTCTACACAGTGGCTGCGTACACAAGAAAAAGTACAACATGACATGAGCATGCAGTACGGTACACATACATGTATGGTCGCACATGTAACGAACGGTCGATCACATGTGATGAACACACATGTGATAGCTAGAATTGTTGACAGGATTTTTGGGCACAAAATATCTCATTTAGGAGACGCCCAATTGGCTGGACAGTCAACCAGCAATCGTAGGGAGGGTGAATGCACTCTCCCAACCTCAAGATTACAACAACAATGGCATATGTGAGAAACAAAAAGCAGAAAAATAGGCCCAATTAAAAACGCTTGTCTCACCATTCGGTGTCAGCCAGAAAAGGAACGAGCGTTCGTCCGGCGTACGTGGAAGACACATTTCCCTATAATATTCATACGCTAGAACAATACCAAAAATGTTGCAAAATGAAGATGCGCAAGTTTAGACCCAATATTAATTATTGAAATTTTTGGAGGTTAATTACCTTTACATTGGCACGTAAATGATAGATTCCAACGAGACTTTATTACAATATAATTGGACTAAATTGCGTAAGGGCGACAGGTCCTTGGGCGGCTATTCGCCTTCCAGAAGTTTCCAGAAGACAACACTACGGTGTCCCTGAAAAGGCTACCGACCCTCACAACTTCCCTGCTTGGAAACCATGCGCCCTCGAATGGTTTTCTTTTTAATTAACATCATCATAAGAACAGTAATGTTAATAACAAATGAAGTAAGATAGATAACCTCACATGTTAATATAAGCACAATCACTTAAGAACAAACCAGAGAAAATCCCAAGGCTTCTTCAGTGTCTTTCATACACATACATGTTGAAAACTTTGGAAAAAAGTACATAATGGGTGGGTTCAACCCAGACATTATATCTAAATGGTCTCCAAATGAGTCACTCAAAAGCTGGGAAGGCCCTGTCTCATAATGAGCAAGACTTCTGAGCAGCTCAAAGAAGCTAAACATAATTTCCAAAATGCAATATACATTGCCCTCAAATGGCAAACAGTGTGTAAACATGTAAGTTATCCCCATTTACGATCACATAAAGTCAATAACCGAGTACACGAATTGGCACTGCATAGAAAATAGAACAAATAAGAGTGTAAACTACAGCAGTAAAGACCATTATGATTTATCTGTCTGGAACCCCAACTGTTAGTTTTAGCTAATTAGACTCAACTGTACGTACTATCAAAATTGTACATGAGAAAATACTCTACAGTTCAAGTACATGTACAGTGTACTTGTTTGAAAAGAAATTGAACGCACTCTGATACTTGTAATCAATGTCTACAATGAAGAGTCTGATCACCCTTTGACAATCAAAATTCACAATGTTTCAGTCAAGAATCACTTCGATTTACAACAATTACATCAATTCACAGACAAAAGTTGGTTATAGAGCTTACGATCAGATGATGAGATTAGGTTCAAAGTTTACACTGCCCAACTGCCCCCTTGATTCCACGACAATAGTTAACCATGCCCTCTTGATTGAGATGACAGCCATCAATGAGGTACTTAGGGTGATTTATTCTTCTCTGGGCGTATGTTTTAGCATTTGGATATCCTTCCAAGGCCCGATCAAGCAACAAATTAAATCGTCTGGCCCTATGATTGAAAGTCGAGCAAGCCACCTGCCCTCGTTGGGAGATGGCTGATCTCTGAATTACAGATAGGAAAATAATATGTTGTGGTGTAACCCCGAGTGGAGCAAGTGAATCAACGAATCTTAGTGCCATTTGGACAACCTTCTCTGGAGTGTTCTCTTGGTTACACAAATCATTTGTGCCCAAATCAACAATGAGAATGTCAACGGATTTTTCCTTCATTTTCCCAACATAATGGGGTAGAGAGTCAAACATTCGTGCATATGTCAACCCAGGATAACCATCAACAAAAATGCTACATCGATCATCCAGTCCCAAGAAAGACAAGACAGAAACACCACTATGCCGTTCCCTGACATGGCGCAAGAGGCGGGCTGGAAATGAGTGCCCAAATAAAATCACTGATATTTTGCCTGACATAGCCCAGGAGGAAACTTGGCAGTTATTGTTTTCTGTGTACTCCACAATACAACCGCACTCTAGCAAGATTACGAGCAAAATTGTCTTAATATGTGATTAAGGGTGGAGACCTCAAATACGAGAAGCAAGCAAGCAGCTGATGGAATCCCGTCTGGACTCTATAATCCAAAAAAACCGAATGTGGGATGGCCAACAGGTGGGAGTCCTCCCAGCAACTATAAACAACAATACAAAAAGCAAGAAACAAATGGAAAATGGTAAGAGATGGCACAAGGCCTGTCCTGCAATAATGATTAAGGCAGGCAAATCTCCTCTCCAACTATCCTACATAATAAGCTGAGATTTATCAGCTTTAAATCTACTTGTACATCCTAATAATTAGATACTATGCACAATAAAGAACCAGCACAGGGCCGGCACATGGCCTGTCCTGCAACGAGTGAGCAAGCAAATCTCCATGCTGGCTACACAGGCCTAAGGGAAGGGATTTGAAACTTTCAAACCCAACAGTTACATATAATACATTATAGTCAGGTAATGGCATTAGGCCAGCAACCGGAACGCTTCTGTCGAAGACAGTCGGCTTGTCTTAGGACAGTTTCAGGTGCAGGTAACGGAGCGGGACCCAGGGTACTTGGTGATGAAGCACTGGTCTTCATTGATGTGTTGCGAGGGGGTCCACTTATACATGTATCTTTCTTTGTTAGGGCATCCTCCACCACAGGTGTGTGTGAAGAAGGCTGTGAGCTTGGAGTGGTACTATCAGGACAGGGTATGACTGTCCATTCATACTCATCGGAGGAAGAATTACCTTCAGCCTCACTCTCGTCATTACCCTCAACGAAGGGTAGGTTGAGAGGGGGCATACCCAAATTAGACCCAACAGACTCCCCCCTAGGATCAAGGACTAACATCTTCCGATTGACCCACTGCAGAGCACCCCCATCAAATGGCCTGACCGCATACAGACCCCCCTCTTCATTACGCTTCACCACGATATGCTGCAATTCACCATAAGTGTTTGCTAACTTGTGTCTACCTGTGAACGCGCACTCCTTCAACAGTACCCGGCTACCAACAGGGAGGGGGCTTGTGTGCACGCGCTTGTCGTAACGACGCTTGTTCGCCTGTGCTGCTTTCAGCAGGCGCTGCTTTGCTAACCCATGTGCTTCTTGGATGAGTTTAGCCTGTCGCTCCACAATGCTTTCATCCCAGTTGGAATGAGTACGGTTTATTAGTTGATCTAGTGGCACCGTCGGCTCACGGCCAAACATAAGTGTGTATGGGGTGAATCCGGTCACGCCGTGTGGCGTGGAGTTGTATATGAAAACCAAATGGGGAAGCAAATCTGGCCATTGACTACGGTTCTTGCGATCAAGTGATTTGATTAA